GGTGTCATCTAAGGAGTTACATGGCTGGTGTCAGAAGGAGAAAAATTTCTCTTTCTGATTGAGCAGGTATTTCTGCCATTGGGGAGGTCTAGTTAACACATAATGGAGATGCACAAAGGTGCTAGAGGGGAGAGAGGAGGCCAAGGGACAGAGAAAGTTTTCTGTTTAAATTTTTCTTGTCTTGCCTTTAAAATGTGAATTTTTATTTCATCACTTGGATCACTTGGTTAAAATGGTGCTCAGGCTCCCACATTCTTAACCATCTTGCAATTCTGCCTCTGGCCTGGAAAGTTCTTTCAATTTTTTCTTTCAAAAAAAAAAAAACCAAAAACCTGAGACCAATTCTCTTGGCAGAGCAACTGTGGGAAGAGGTAGAGCCTGGAAACTATTTTAGGATGAAAATTCTCAATGTCCTGGATCGGACCCTTACTCTCTACCTCTCATTTGCACCCAAGATACCCTCACCGAAGGCCCACGTAGTGGCTGGCATGCTTGAGGAGAGAATACCCTTTTACACCTATGTTTCTTTCAATTGCTGGTCCCTTTACTTAGAAAGCCATGGCTCACTGCTACCTTCTTTCCTATCTGCAGAACTTCAGCTCATCTCTTAAGCCCAGGCCTGGGGTCTTCAGCTCCAGGAATAAGGCTGCCGCACTGCACAGTCCCAGGGGCCAACAGTCACATCACATTCCACATGCCTGGTGCCCCTGGAGTTGTGCAAGCCTGTGGTCTTGCTCTGGAGACACCTATCCCCATCCCCAGCCCTAGCCTCACCTCACACAGCACACTGATTCACTAGTGCTTGTTCAGACATAGGTCTGTCTTCTCTAATCAGAAGGTGAGACTAGGCTTGTTTACCTCTATGGGCCCCCATATCCAATATGTGTTCAACAAGCATTGGGTGAACACAGGAATTCCTCAGTGACTACTCAGGTGAACCCTCCCCACCTCTGACCAACATCAGTAGCACAGAGTCTCATTCTCTACAATCTGGTGGTGACACGGTCTAAGTTTCCACCTTTGTATCCCCTGAGGGGCATCACAAAGTTCTGGCGATAAAATTCCAGATTCCGTATGTCCCGCAGGAAGGCCTCCCTTGTAAGACCAGCAGGTGCAGTTAAAGGTAGCTTCTTGACAGATTTGTGAGGCTGAAATGGAGGCTCTCCCTTCTAAGAAGAGGGGATAGGGTCTGGAGAAACCCATTTGTCAAGATACCGACTCTAAAAACAAGTTGGAGAGCCTGCAGACTGACTCCAGGGCAGAGGCCGGGCCCCTGTGATGTGAGGCGAGAGCAACCAGGGTGGCTGCAGCTGCAGAGGGAGGGGTTCCGGGAACTTACCCAGGAAGTGAGCTGGGGTCTCAATTCTCACCAAATCCCTGGTCCCCTATTGCAGGTCGCTGTTAATAACAGAAGGGAAGCACCCAGTTGGGTTTTTCTGCTGTAAGAGATACCAAGGTCTCATCTCACAGCCTTCAGTACCTTGCCCAGGCCCCCTCTAGCTGGCAGCTGGTTGAAGCTTTGGATGCTCTGGTCCTAGGTAATGAACAGGGTCCTCTGACTTCTTGCACCTGTGAGGACCTGCTCGTGGGTCATTCTCAATCCTCTTTGGATTTCTCATCTACACATGTTGACAATGACAGGTGCCAAGTGCAGATGTTGAGGGTTTTGATTTTTTGTTTGTGTTCCAATTCCAAGTCCTTTCCCACGCTAGCCTTGTACCCCAGAGGTGGCTCTGCCCAGCAGGACACTGCACCAGGCGCGGGAGGTATCACGCTTGGTCAGATAGGACCATAGGGCACTGGTCAGATAGGACCATAGGGCTTGGTCAGATAGGACCATAGGCAACAATACTTATTCATTTAACCAAAGTGACAATAAAAGATTTCAAAAGCAAATACAGAACATTTTAAATTACTTAAAAGCTTGGAAAGAAACTTACAATCTGTTATCAAAAGCAGCTCAACAGTCCAAAAAAACTTTGTTCTCTTCATAGAGAGAGAAAACAAACCCAGGTTTTACACCATCTTACCTTTAATATTAAAATTCATTTACTCAATTAAACTCATTCTAATCTTCGTTAGTCCTGACTACACATAGAATTCCTTTCTAAAGACCTTTCCCTCTTGCAAAGCTTCCACAACTTTCTATACCCATATTAATTTGTCCCATATTTTCTTTCCCATTTAGAAATAACCAGTTTTAGGACCAAATTACTTTCTCTCTCTTAAAAAAATGAATTTCCATTTCTTATACCTTCTTTTCCTTGCATACAAAGGTGTTTTCTTATTAAATTTTAGTTTTAATTAAATATATTAATTAGAATTCTCAACTCTTGAAAACCTTAATTTCTAGTGAAAACTAAGAAATAAGCAACTATGAACTGTCTTTTACATTAGCACTCTGTAGATTAGCAAACTTGTAAAATATTCAATAAACTTCCATCATTTAATTTAATTCAGCAAAACTCTAAAGTTTCAAGTTACCAAATATCTGAAGAAACTACTTTTAAGTAGACAGTCATAAAACATAATTATTCTTAAAGAGTTCTCCTTTAAAAAAAATCTTATCTCATTTACATTTAATTTACTTTAAAAAATTTCATGGGGCTTCCCTGGTGGCGCAGTGGTTGAGAGTCCGCCTGCCGATGCAGGGGACACGGGTTCGTGCCCCGGTCCGGGAAGATCCCACATGCCGCGAAGCGGCTGGGCTCGTGAGCCATGGCCGCTGGGCCTGCGTGTCCGGAACCTGTGCTCCGCAACGGGAGAGGCCACAGCAGTGAGAGGCCCGTGTAGCGAAAAAAAAAAAAAAAAGAAAAAAAAATTTCATCATACCAAGTTATTTTTCTTGCTGACAAATTCTGCAACAGATATAATAAGATCTTATTTAACCTCCAGTAAACCTAGGTACAATAAAAATATCATACTTAATGTTGATGGTTCCAAGGACATGTCTGATTAATTAAACCAGCAAAAATGAACTTTAATGCCCAAAGTTAATTTAATACTGAATATTTCCCAGTTCACATAAACCTGAAATTTCTTTGGTTTAGTTTCTTGTATATTCCTTTTTAATAATTTTTTTAAATTAATTTATTTATTTTTGACTGCGTTGGGCCTTCGCTGCTGTGCGGGCTTTCTCTAGTTCAGCGAGTGGGGGCTACTCTTTGTTGCGGTGCACGGGCTTCTCATCGTGGTGGCTTCTCTTGTTGCAGAGCACAGGCTCTAGCTGCATGGGCTTCAGTAGTCGTGGCTTGTGGGCTCTAGAGCACAGGCTCAGTAGTTGTGGCACACGTTCTTAGATGCTCTACGGCATGTGGGATCTTCCGGACAAGGGCTCGAACCCATGTCCCCCGCATTGGCAGGCGGATTCTTAACCACTGAGCCACCAGGGAAGTCGCAAGAAATTAATTTTGTTAATAAGGTCTGGAAGTTGAGACATATATGTATAATGTACACACAGACATATAGGCAGATACAACTAGAGACCTCATAGCTTCATTTTAACTTAGTCATGAATCAGGTATTACAATATAAAACTCACTAGTTTATAAATAACAGTTGGAATAAGTTAAGTTTAAAAAGGCCTCTTCCCTCCACCCCCCATTTTTCCTCTCAGTCTCAGGAATTGGAGATTCCTGGATAAGACAGGAGTTCCTGAGAGCCCTGGTAGAACATTTACAGCTCAAGGCACAGGGAGAGAAAAGCAAGCTCCTCCTAGAACCTGCTCTCTTAGGGTCAGAATTCTGAAAAGATGTTTTATCAAGCTGGCAAAACTAGTTATGGATTATCAAATGAGCCTAATCTTGGGCATTTTTCTCCAGAGTCTAAAGAATACTGTGGTTACACAGTGTTACCAAAAAAAAAAAGAAAAAATCATCTTTTTGGCTTTAGCCATGGTACCAGAACAAAAGGTGGTCCAATTTTGTAGGATGCATCCTAAAGGGCTATTTTTGGGAACTGAACTTTTGTTTAATGTTTAATGTCCACCAAGTAAAATAGTGTACCTTCTTTAGCACAAATACACATGCACAAACACACACACACACACACAGAGATAAAAGACAAACCAATTCCAAAAGGCTAACTTTGATACACTAGCATAAAAGCCTACACACAAAGAATTTCATGTCATTTTCCTTCCCTTTTACAAAAACAGTTCCAGTTGATGGTCTCTTCATGGTGGACAAAATTGTTATCGAACCGAACTCGGGTCTGCTTGCCAAACAAGCAGCATAGCCAATATACTACAGCAGGTTGTGGTGAAGTAAAGTACAGGGTTTATTTGCAAGGCACCCATCAAGGAAGTGGGAGACACGCCTCAGATCCGCTCCACTTGCTCTTTGAGTGAGGGGGTTTTATAAAGGGGAAGAACAAAGAGGCTGGGATTAATCATCTTGGGACATTTCCGTGACATTTTTTAACCTCTCTTTAAACTGAAGTATAGTTAATTTATAATATTGTGTTAGTTTCAGGTATACAGCAAAGTGATTCAGTTATACATATATATGTGTATATATATGTACATACACATATATATTCTTTTTCAGATTCTTTTCCATTATAGGTTATTACAAGATATTGACTAGAGTTCTTATATTGTGCTTTCTGTGACATTCAGGTTCCGGGACTCAGGATGTCTCTGGTTTAGGATTCTCTGGCCAGGTGGTCCAGGCCTCAGGGGGTCTGTTAACGTATCTTGCCCTGGAGAAACAACCTGAGTTTATACATTAATGATATCTGTAATAGCAACTTTAGTACATTAACAGTGTAATTCACACCAGCAACCTTAGTACATTAACCATGTTCTCAACAGCAGCAATTTTGGTCAACTGACTCTGGTTGACTAGTGTTCAGTTAGCACAGGATTGAAGTCAGAGGGGACAAGAAAGGGAATAAAGTTTTGGATAGACACATTAATCATAAACTCCTAAGGGAACTCAGGTTTTAGAAAGACTCCGTTTCAATAGGATGGGAGGCCGGAAGGACTTGAGGGGCTCTGGCACAGTGAAGCCACGGGGATCTCCAGGCCACCTCCCTTCCAACCCTCCCTCGCCCCTCCCAACCCAGGAGGGGAGCTCTTCTCAGCGTCTCTGAAAGCGGGTAGGGATCCCAGTGGCTTCAAGAGAGTCCCAGGGGACAGGCGGGCGGAGGCGCAGCGCTGGGAACAAAGGCCCACAGAGGGGTCCTGCAGCGCGCGGCTCCCCAGGGGCTGGGGCGACGGCGGCCCGCTCCCCCTCAGCTTCTCCCTCTCCTTCCCTGCTTCCACCCGGAGGCCCGTCGCGCAGCCCGAGCTGCGGCAACTTCGCCAGCGGTTCCCAAGTAGCCGGGGGCGCAGGGGTGGGAGCTGGGTGGGGAGAGGGAGAAAAGGAGGAGGAGGAGGGCTCCCCGGGCGCCTTGGACGCAGTTCAGGAATCCGCCGCCACTGCCGGCCGCTCGCGGACTCGGGCCGAACGGGGAAGGCGCCAGGCAGGACCGCTCGCTCGCTGCGCAGGACGGCGCCCTCCTGGCGCCGCTTCCCGCCCACCGTGCGAACCCGCGGGGCCGAGCCTCCTTCCCTCCCCGCCGCCGTCCCCGGCCGAAGCCGCTTCTGCCTGGTCCTGCCGAGAGGAGGGCAAAGTTGCGGGCGGATGCTGCCCGCGCCGGACCCCTGCCTCGGAAAGTCGGATCCGCCCCCGCTGGAGGAGGCTCGGTGGCGGGGTAAGTAGGGCACCGGCATCCCGGAACCGCCTCTGGGCCCGGGAGATGGCCCAGCGGTGCGCACCCCACCATCCCCGATCGGGCGCGCGCGCCAAACTTTGGAGGGAGAGGGGGCGAAACCGAAGGTGGGAGAGGGAGTTCTCGGCGCGAGGAAAGCTCAGCGCAGGCACCCACACCTCCAGACCCACTGCACCCAGATTCACAACTGCCACATACGCACAGCTCATCACCCATCGAGCCACAGACACACGCACACGCTTCAGACCGAACCGTGCAATTCCGGAAGTGCGGGCGTTCGGATCTTTAGACCAAGCATGTCCTCCAGCCTCAAATAAATCCACTGTCTTTGTCTGCTGCCCCTGCAGCCCCACAGTGAGGTGTCCCCAAAGCGAGACGGGCAGGAGAGGGGCTGCCTTGTCTTTGAAAAGTCGTGGCCGGGACCTCGAGGCTGAGAAGTGGGGAGGGGAAATCAGACATTTCAGTCAGCTCTCCGGGTTCATCAGGAGCGAGTTTGGCGTGGAAACTCGGTGTCTGGGTGATGTGTCTGGGTGTGCGCAGCCCTTCCGGAGGCGAGGCCGGGAGAAAGGAGGGAGTGACTCATAAACTCAGACCAGGCGTGTTAGGGTCTGTGAGCAGAGTAGAAAAGGCTGGCAGGCGGTGCTGCCCTGGACAGCTGGGTGGTGGCAGTGACAGGGCCTGCGAGGGAAGCACAGACCCTTCCCCCTAGCGGATGTGCTTCCTCAGAGAGACTTCCAGGGGGGGTGGGCTGAGGAGATTCCAGCCCTGGGTGTGTATATGTAAAACGTGGTAGGGGATGTTTAACACTCCAAGGTCATGGAGAAAGCAGGGCAGTCCTGAAGCCATATTTATTTTCATTGCACCTGAAGTTGTGTCTGTTTTCGGATGCCCTTGGTGTCCGGGGCTCCAGGATGTTTCAAAGGTTGTCCTGGATCTAGTACAGTGCCTAGCATTGTTGGTACTCGATAAATAGTTGTTTGATGAGTGATGACACCAATAATTCATATATGTTAAGGACACTCTATGAGCCAAGCCAGGTGGCCTCGGCTAGGTTGGAATTGGTCTATCTGCAGAGGAGGGGGCCCTGAGTGGTTCCAGGGAGCCCTGCCTGATCTGTTTAGCCCAAGCAGCAGGTTCTGTTGTGCGCTGTGGGCTGGCACTGGGGACTTGAGTCTTAGCATTGGCCTCTGCTTCCCTAAGAGGGGCAGTAAGAAAGTCTCCATTTTTGCATCTGGCTAAGCTGGCAGTGTCGTGGCGTGTTCTTCCTGGCTCCTACTGGCCTGGAAGGAGATGGGTCTCATGAAGGGTCTAGGAGCTGTGTCCTCCAGCAGTGGCTTGGCTCTGTGGTGGCAGCAGGTAGAGGGGCAATCACAGTCCCTGTACTGAGTATTGGGTGGGTTCCTCTGCACCAGCTGGCATGAGCTTCCCAGAGGAGTGAAAACATCTCGTGTTCCTGGAACTGGGATTGCAAGCAGTCCTGAGAATGATTCCCTACCTTCATGGAATTGGGAACATGCCAGGATGTGGTGCAACTTGGCCATGTAATCACAAAGAAATGTGTCATTCCCCCACCCCACCCCTGGCCCTTTGTGACTAGGTTTGGTGTGCATGTGAAGCTTCTAAGTGGTCTGAATCCTGAAATTAGCAAAGTGTATAGGCAGCACCCAGGATTGTGGCCCCAGATGAGCGAGAGAGTGATCTGGGCTTGGCCACCCCCAATTTCAGGTGGAACACTGCAGCCAATCCCTTCCCAATATCACCTTTCCACCTTATTTATGTCTTCTGTGAATCAAGAGCTCTACGTTATCTCATCAAGACCTCATATCCCTATGAAGTTAGCGTTTTGTCACCATTTTACAGATTAGGAGACTGAGGTTCAGAAAGGTTAAGTAATTTTTGGGGGGTCACACAGCTGGTGAGGGACAAAGCCAGGATTTGAAACTGGACAGTCTGACTCTGGAACCCATGCTGTTTCCACCATGCCCAGCTGTCTCTAAGGTCCCTAACTGGTTCTCCATAGCAACAAGGAAGCAACGCTGATGCACTTACTGGGTCCTGGGGCCCCTGACTACAGTCCTCTTTTTACTCACACTCTGCCTAGCCTGGGTTACACCATGGGTCATGGAAATCGAAGGCTGGGTGGCACCAGGCTGCTAGAGCCTTCCGTGTGGATCTGGAGTCAGAAAACGATGGGGGTTTGGGAGTGACTGCAGGGAGATGTTGGAGTAATTCTGGCGAGAGCAGATTCACTGCTTATGTGAGAAATGGGGACAAAGCTACCACTCGTGACTATACAAGTCGCAGGTTTGGGTTTGGAAGGAATTGCCAGGTAAACGTCCTCACATGGATGACTATGTTCCTTTCCCTTTCGGCCCTTGCCAGGGGAGACATCTATCACACAGGGAAATCAGCCCTCACCTGAATATGAAGGGGCGTGTCACGGCTGTCCTTCCCACCACCCACCACATGCCCAGGAGAGCTAGACTCCGTGGTGGTGTCTGTTCCTCAGGAGGGATGGATGGGGAGAGCTGGGGCAACCAGGGGCTGCGATAACCACATGACTCACCGGGTCCCCAGCTTATGCTTTCTCACACAGGCCCCACAGAGGGACAGTGGTTCTCATTCCCGATTTGCTGATGAGGAAATGAGGCTCAGAGAGGTGCAGTGGCAGCCCAAGGTCACAAAGCTAAGGAGGAAGTGCAAGCCATGCTGCCTTCAGGACTCCCTGCAGGCACTTAGGGGCAGCTGTGTTTTCTGCCTGGTTGGTATTCTATCTCCCCAGCCCCAAGGCTGAGAGGGGGTTACCCCCGTTGGGGCAGAATCCTCACAGCTCTGCCCACCCGCATCTCTACCCCCAGATCCTCTGGTACAGGTGTTCACGGCATGGGGAAAGCTGGCAACCTTAAACAAGGAGCAGAAGATAAGCACTGCCCAGCTGGCCCTGCCCACCTTCCACAGCGAGCCCACCTGGGTGAGTGCCGGAGCGTGCGCAGTGCTGACCTGCAAAGATACGGGGCCTTCTCCCCGCTTCACTGTGGTGTGGACTCGCTGTCCAGGATGGCAGTTGGGAGACTGGGTGTGGGGAGAAGCTGCCCCATCCGAGGGGCGGGGGCTATTAATCTTTGTACCCCTGGCTCTGTCCTAGTGCGTGACACACGGAGGTACTTAGGAACATTGTCAGATGATGGGTGAACACCAGGGAGGGGCTGTGAGTGCCTCTGCTGGGAAGTGGTAAAGCGGGGAGCCAAGGGAATCTGCCGTGAGGAAACACTCAGAGAGGCCTCTGCCCTTTATGAAGTCACGCAGGAGGAAAGGAAAACAGCTCTCCTTTTCATTCCTTAAACAGAAATGCTTGTCCCCTTTGCTTAAACAGGTGGAAGAACACCGCTTGTCCTGCCCTGAGCATGTAGATTCCACGTCTGGGTGTGGGGTGGCCTCTGGCAGGCTGGACAGTTTGTTCTGTGCTTGAAGGTCTCAGCCTACGTCTTCATCAACCTAAATCAGGCTGGTTCTCCTGCACATCCCCCCCTCTGCAAACTTGGAAGGAGGGGCATGCAGGCCACGGGAGCCCCTGACCACCAGTAACTTAAGGTCTCTAGCAGCCCATCACTCCCTCTCTATGCCTCTACCCTCCCCCCATGCCTCCCCTTACCCCCCTGCCCCACAGAGATGGCTGTGTGCTGGGTTGTTTTAGACTCTGGGAAATTTATCACTGGGATTCCAGAGGGCTCTCTGAAAAGGATTTGGAGGAAAAGCGTGTAAAATAAATAAGCCAATTCCCAGCTCAGCCTCTCCTGAATGCCACAAGTAAACAGCTAGCCTGGGAAACTCTGTTTTGGCCTCTGTGCTCACACCTGGCTCACCGGCTGCCTTACCCGCTCCCTCCTTCCTGCATCCGCCCCATCCAGCCCCTCCTCCTTGACTCAGGGAGCCTCAAAAGTCGGGGAACACACCCAACGCCACACACCCAACGCAGGCTGTCCGGGACACTGGGAAGCTGGCATACTGGTGGCTGGGGACAAGAGGAGAATGTGGGAGAAGAGACAGCTAGGGGTTGCAGCACAGCCTTGCTCCATCTGAGGAAGTCTCCCTGCCTCGGCCCTGCTCGAGGTGAGTTTGACTTTGTTGATGGAGAATGTTGGGGCTTTTTCCAATTTTGTGGCATCTGAGGAAGCTTTACATCTTAAACATCAGTTTAGAGCAGATGGGCCAAAGCTAATTTTCTCCAAAGTGGGCTCCCATGTGAAGAAACCCTAAAAACCCCATTTACGGTGTAGGGCTACCCGGACTAACCAGAATGTCAGGGGTCTTTGCTTTTGACCGGACCTATGAGCTTAGGCCCTATCAGTTTAGGGCTCTGGTGGTGTGAGTTCACTGTTGTAAGTTTCTTTGTGGAGTATGAAGTAAACTCGTGATAACTTAATAACTTCATTTAATTCAGTTGACCCACTCTAAAACCCAGCACCCAGTGAGAAGGGGAGAACCAGGGTGCTAGGGTGGGGGTATTTCCCTGGTGGGATTGGCAGCTGAGGTCTCCACTCAGTCCCAGGGAGGGGCCTGGGGGCCTTTCCATTGATGTGCCTATGCCAAGCTGGGTCAGCAAACTGAAACCCCTGGGATCTGGGGAACAGGCACCCCCCTGAGGCTCTGGGTCCCGCCTCCACGCAGGAGCCCCTTTAGCCTGTTGCTGTCAGGCTTCCAAGAGAGAATTTGAGGGGTAAGCCCCATGGCTTGCAGTCTTGTTTGGAAAGAGGCTGCACACCCACATACAGATTAGCACACATCATCATGGGCCAAAATACACACACACACACACACACACACACACACAGATACATAAGCACAGGGATGCACTCATCCCAAAAGGCAAATTATGTAATAGTAAAGAGTACATATTCTAAAGCCAGAATGCCTACCGTACTGCTTAGTAACTGTGTGACCTTGGGCAAATTACTTAACCTCTCTGGGCCTTACTTTCCTAATCAGTAAGAGGGGGATGGTAATGGGTTATAAGTAATGGGGCTATAAGTGAATTTGTATCTGTGAGGAGTTTAGAAATGTGCCTGTACGTAGCTAGGTGTTCTAACTATTGTTCACCACATATTCTATGCCCCAGATATTCAGGCCCAAGGGCACAATACTTCCCAGAGGGGTGCTCACAAACTTGTCAGCGAATAGGATCAATCACTTTGCACTTTCTGAGTCCTGATTCTCAGGATGTGTGGCATTCTCTGTACTAGACTCGAATTAGAATTTATTAGAAACATCATTTCGTCTTCCCTTAAGAAGCTCATTATTTTATAAATTTATTTATTTATTTATGGCTGAGTTGGGTCTTTGTTGCGGTGTGCGGGCTTCTCGTTGCAGTGGCTTCTCTTGTTGCGGAGCACGGGCTCTAGGCATGTGGGCTTCAGTAGTTGTGGCTCGCGGGCTCTAGAGCACGGGCTCAGTAGTTGTGGCGCACGGGCTTAGTTGCTCCGCAGCATGTGGGATCTTCCTGGACCAGGGCTCGAACCTGTGTCCCCTGCATTGGCAGGCAGATTCTTAACCACTGCGCCACCAGGGAAGCTCAGAAGCTCATTATCTTAAAACAATGTGGGCACTAACTCCCCCCAGAGAAGGGTGTGATTCCTTTAGCAGCATCAGTTTTCAAACTAGGTTCCTTGGAGCCCCAGAGTTCAACGAGGACCCCTCAGAGGTCTGATGGGAGGGAGGATCCAGGCCTCTCCCCCCATTTATCTTTTTTTTTAAAATATTTATTTTTTTTTGGCTGCATCGGGTCTTAGTTGCGGCACGTGGGCTCCTCATTGCAGTGTGCAGGCTTCTCTCTACTTGTGGCATGTGGGCTCAGTAGTTGTGGCACACGGGCTTAGTTGCCCCACGGCATGTGGGTCTTAGTTCCCCGACCAGGGATCGAACCCGCGTCCCCTGCATTGGAAGGTGGATTCTTAACCACTGGACCATGAGGGAAGTCCCCCATTTATCTTTTCTACATATTGGGTTTCCTAGGAAAGTTCTGGTTCATAAGAAGGCTCCATAGCTTAGACGGTTGAAAGACCCCCTCCACCGTCTGACCCGCTTCCCATCCTGTGTGCGTCTGTCCGAGCACGCTGTGCGATGCCCGTGCCTACGTGGGCCCGTGCAGCTACCTGAACGTTGGCCCCAGGCCTCTCCCACTCTTCCCCGCTTCCCTCCTCTCCCCTCCTCTCCAGCTGCCTCACCATCTGCAGGATTCTGGAAAGTGCTAACATGTCTGAGCCAAGATAGGGCTATCTGAGGAAGTATTCTGAAAACAAACTGGGCCACCATCCTGGCTGAGACTGCAGTGATTTTTAGCAAAGAATTCACAACTTCCGAGGTGGGCAGCCGGGGCTGTGGCCCCTGGCTGTCCTCTGGAGGATGCCTGGGGCCTGTCTCTGCAGGGTTAGGATAGACACGCCTGAAGAGGCCCAAGATTGCAAACCTAGAACCAGGAAGGGGAAGTCATCCTCACAGGATGAAGAACTGGAACCCCCCACCCCATCCCCCCGTGACCTCAGGGGTATGGAACCCTGTCCTCTTCTTATTCTGAGAGATGCTACTTTCCTTTTAGTTTTCCTCCTCCTTTTCCATCTGGTGCAGGTGCCTCGGGGCTGGGGACACAGGAAATATTAGCAGTAACAGCTTAGCAAGCACAGCCCTGCGCTTAATTAGTGCCTTCCTGGCCTGCACTCACCAAGTTCTCACAGGATGCTCTCAGGATAGGTACCGTTGTGCTCCCTGTTGTACAGACGGGCAGACAGAACCAGACAGATGGGATAAGTTGCTGGCACCCCACTGCTGATGAGTGCAGAGCTGGGTCTGAGGCCTGCAGCCTGGCTTCAGAGTCAGTGCTCTTGACCCTGGGTGTGTCCGTCTTGCTGGGGCCAAAGCCGGAGAGGTGGAATGGCTCACAGGACAGTCATTTCGTAACTGTGGCCAGGGCATGCTGCTGGTGTCTGACTGGGAAGTGCTGGGGAGGCTGGCCTCAGGGGTGCTGCAAGCCAAGTCTGAGCCTCGGCCTTCCCCAAGGCTCGCTGGGCAGGGCACTGCCCTCATACAACAGCCTCTTTTGCAAGGCTGGCCATCTGCTGATTGCTGCTTCCCCTTAGCCATGGCAGCTCTCAGAAAGTGACGCCGATGGCAGCAGAAGGGATTTAAATTATTGGCAAAAGGAAGAACTGGCAGACTGGGGGCCTCTGTCTCCCCGAAGGCCATTCCGGCAGGACAGAAACCTTACCGTGGAGTAAGCGCCGAGCTGCTCGAGATGCCGAATGGCTTCCTTTTTTTTTTTAAATAAAGTTATTTATTTATTTTTGGCTGCGTTGGGTCTTCGTTGCTGCGCTGGACTTTCTCTAGTTGCCACGAGCGGGGGCTACTCTTTGTTGTGGTGCCCGGGCTTCTCATTGCAGTGGCTTCTCTTGTTGCGGAGCAGGGGCTCTAGGCGTGCAAGGCTTCAGTAGTTGCAGCACGTGGCCTCAGGAGTTGTGGCTTGCAGGCTCAGTAGTTGTGGCACACAGGCTTAGTTGCCCCGCGGCGTGTGGGATCTTCCCGGACCAGGGCTCGAACCCGTGTCCTCTGCATCGGCAGGCAGATTCTTAACCACTGCTCTATGAGGGAAGTCCCCAAATGGCTTCCTTGGGCCTTGTGATCTCCCGGTGAATATCATCCCCAGCCTCTTCTTTCACCAGCCCTTGTCACGTACTTGGTGTTCCAGGTTCCAAACTGACCTCTTTCCCGATGCACGTGTCCTGCTCTCTGTAGCCTTTCCAGCTGCCCAGAACACTCTCTCCTTCCTTCTTTTCTCATGGTCAGCTCGCTTCATCCTCAGGCCTCAGCTTGGATGTCTCCTTCTAGAAGCCTTGGTCAGTGGCCCTCCCTATGGCTGCCTGCACGTCCCCGTCCTCACACTTTGCCCTGCTGTGTTGCCCTGGCTGCTTTCATGGTCTGTGGTCTCCACCAGGTAGTGAGCTCTGCGAGCAGGACAGAGTCTGCCTTGTTCCCCTTGTGTCTCCAGTGCTTAGCACAGCCCCAGGCATGCGCTGAGTACCCATGCCTGACTGTGGGACCATGAGTGATGGGTGTGAAACTTGGCCGCAGGAGGAAGGAGGCACTGGACGGTGCCCAGGCTCCCATGATTGGATGCCTAGGGAGTGATCAGTGTCTGGGCAGAAGTGGTGGGAGTCATGGTGTGTGGAAGGGGGTAGCTAATGTGGACCAGAGGCCCTATGTGGGACAGGGAGGGAATGGGAGAGTGAGACCCTGGGCAGATGGCCTCTTGCAGTTACTACCCTGTGGGCACTGGGCTGGGATCCCAAGGATGGGCCTGAAACGCTCCAAGAGGCCTCTTTGAATTAGGTGGCCTGGTGGATGGATGCACTATGGGCCTCACTACTCAACCCCACCAGCAAGCGGTTCTCAGTCCTGTCCCCTTTCTGGACGGACATTCATTCATCCTCTCCGGGCTTCAAAGCTGACCCCCAAGCAATGGAGGCCCCCCATGGCTGAGTCCTTTCCCCTGAGCAGAGAGAAGGAAGCCCAGCTGGCAGGCTGCCTCCCAGGGTTGGTTCCAGTTGCAGCCTTTGAGCTGTGCTCACAGAAGTAGTAGGGCCCTGCGTGCTGGGTTCCCATCCACACCACCCAGGTAGCACACATTAGGTGCTCTGGCCAGGGCACCGCCTGTCTGGGTGCCTGCTCATGCCTGAAACCATGCCAGGTTGGCTGGGGATAGCAGAAGGTGCCTCTAGGCAAGAAGAGGAGAGGACACCTAGGCACAAATAACCACCTTTGAGTCCAACTGTGATGAGGCCACAAAGGTGGACATGAGGGAGGACTTGGGAAAGACTTCATGGAGGAGGTGGGGGTTCCAGTGCAAGAAGGGAACCTGGGCAAAAGCACAGGCATGGGAAAGTTCAGATTGAATGCAAAGGTTGGTGAGGAGTCCAGCTGGGCTGAACTTCAATTTGTAGGATGCACAAAGAAGAGATGAGGCAGGATGGAGTTGTGGTTACACGTGTAAGCTCTAGAGCCAGGCTGCCTGCATGAGGACCCTCAATCCCCACTTATTGGCTGTGTGACCATGGCCAAGTTGC